TGCTATTTAGTTATGTTGTTTCCTTACATTTAGTTAGCTAATTACTACTTATTATAGTGTTTTAAGCTATTTTCGTGTGTTTGTAGGTCCTAATGACAAAGTTGGCAAGAAAAGGCAATTTTGAGCCTTTTAGAGCAGTTTTGGGCTTATTATGGATAGCTTGTATATGGAGCAAGGTGGATGATTTTGGAGTTAAAAGAGGCTAGGAACATGCTACAAATCAGATGAGACAAGTTTAAGACAAAGAAGATAAGGAAAGAGCAAGAAATATGGAAATTTATCCTAACAACCTTATCTTATCCAAACCTTATCCTATCTTATCCTAACCTAATCTTGTTCCACCTTAATTTTAGCTGCAAGTGGACCTAAAAACATGATTTCTAGAAGCCTTATCTGACCCTAAAAGGGTGCCGCACCTTTCCCCCTTTTATTTCTTCTAGAAGAACCAAAATCAGCCACAAAACACCTTGTTTCAAGAAGGCCCAAGCTTTGGCGAATTTCCCTAACCTTTTTCCTCTTGGATTCTGATTTAAATTGGCCCATTTCCTCATGGATTTGGATTGTATAAGTCCATATCAGAAATTAATTGGGCTATGAATTATTTTCCTAAGCCTTGCCACACCCTAGGAACCCTAATCCTTTGTTTCTGCTAAGTTTAACCCTAATTCTGATTTCCTAGGGTTTTTGCCGTGTACTATATATATGTAACTTAATGTTGCCGCACCCCTTACACACCTTATGCAGCCATTCATCCTTCCATTCATTCATTCATTCACACCACACACCATATATTCAGAAACACAACTTGTGCCGCAAACCTAGGGAGAAGAAGGAGTTGTCATGGCTTCCATAGGAGAAAGACAACCTTGTGCCGCAAGAAATTTGCATCTATTGGAGACTTTTAGAGTTTTTTCTTCCCTCGTTTCGTTTCCATGTTTATTTTAATTTGCTTTTCAATTGTTATGAACATGTGTAACTAAGTTTTTCTTAGTTAGAGGTGAATTCAAAGCCATGGACATATGTTTTATATGAATTGATTTCCTCCAGTTTTTTGTTTCTTGAATTGTGAATGCAATTTACTTAACTGATTTATTGAGAACTTGTTCTTGTGTGTTGATTAAGGATGCATACTTAGGTTTCATACATGAATTTGATGCTAGAGTATAAGGGAATTTCACCTAATCGTTATGAACTTATATTCACAAGTAGTAAAAATCACTAGTCATGATTGTGTTAAGTAAATTCTAGGCAAGAGTATCATGCAGTTCATAGTTACGAATGCCTAGTCAATGCTTATGGTTTTCAAAAAGCTTAATGATCTTTGATTATCTCTATTATGCGGTTCATGTAGGGAACTTGATAAGAATAATTTGCTTGTCGATGCGTATTCCATCCAATTCAATGAAACTAGGAAAATCTGAAAGTTAATTTGTGCTTCTCACAATTAATTTAGGGCATTGTCATTCATGGTTTGAAGGGATAATAGCTGGAAATCAATTTGTGTTTCATATGTGCATGTGTGGAGAAGGACCCTCTAACTAGTCTTTTACCCATTCAATTCACCTAATGTAGTGTCTAATCTACTTAGTTTTGCAATCTGCCTAATTTAATTAATTTCGTCCAAATAAATTCCCCCTTTTATTAAGTGTGGTAGATTAGTTAGAAAAGTGTTTGAATCTGTCCAATTTAGTGTTTTGAGTCTAAGTTAGTTAAAATTCGTCCAAATAACTCCATAAAGTCAGTTTTGAGTCTTTTTAATTGTTTGTTGCTGTTTTGAGTGTTTTAAGTTAGTTTTGAGTCTATAGAGTTTAGTTTAGTGTTCTTGAGTCTTATTTGAGTTGATTAGCATCCCTAGTTAATCCCCGGTTTAGAATGATCCCTACTTGCATATATACTACAATTGTCACAAATAGGGTTTAATTTGTGTGTGAAGTTAATTTTCACATCAATATGCTAATTTAAGTATAGTGGATTTGAGTTGCTGCGGGAACTCAAGTGTGAGAGCTTCGGGACTACGAAAGGATGTCAACGGTTCAAAGTATAAAAATAAATTATTTAATCGTTAATGTTCAAAAGTGATCTTTAGGTCAATAATTTTGGATTAATTATCAGACTAATGGACTGTAGGTCACTTTTAATTAGTTCAATATATCGGGACCAAACGGGGTCGATTGTAGAAGCAAAATAATGACATACGGGTCAAAAAATACGAGAGTGGCCTTGTTGTTCAGCTGCAGGTTGATTGGGCCTCGGTGAGGGATGCAGGCCTCATGCCGTGTGGTCTGGGAAGCCTAGTAGCAATAGCTGCTGGCTTTGGGCCAAAAATTGTACATGGGTGCAGGCCCATCAAAAATTGGCCTTGGTTTGGTCCAGGGAAGCCCAACTAAAGCTTGGTTTCACGTTTTTGGGTTGCGGCAAACCAAGCTCAGCAACAAAAGCTGCTAGCAAGTGGGCTGAATGTTAGGGCAAGCCCAATTAGCTATGGGCTGCTTCGGGTAAGCCAAATCATGGGACAAATAAAAGCCCAGCATCACTGGGTTGCTGGAGGTGGACTAGGGACTTACGGGACAATGGGTAAATAAGGCTACAGGCTTTCTTGGTTGGGCTAAGGGATTTCAAGCCCATGAAGCTTATTAGACTGAAGGCCTGGGGTGTCTAGGTCAGCGAAGCAAAGCCCAAAGACTGTTACTGTGTGGTTCAAGGCGTCAAAACGACATCGTTCCATGATATGCTCCACGCTACTAAGCTTCATGCCAGCAGCAGTGGTTCGACGGAGCCACTATGGTGGTGTAGTAGGGGTGGGCAAACGGGTCCTGGACCCGCGGGTCGGGACGGGTCTATGCGGTTCGGGGTGGGTCCAAAAATTAAAAATACAAAACGGGACGGGGTGGGCCGGTTCCTAGTAAATAACGGGGCGGGCTGGTTCTAAAACTTTAAGAAAACGGGTCCCCGGCCCGGACCGTTCATTGCCTAAATCTCTATTGTATATCAATCTATGACCTTCCCTCTCTTATTCTCAACCTATATCTAAGATGCAATTCATTCAAACTCTCCCCTCACCCTCTTTCTCTATCTGGACTCCGAGTCTCCTCCCTCGATCTCTTCTCCTTGAATCTCCTTTCCTCTCTAGTCTTATACCTCAATCTCGAGCCCAGGCTTCCATCTCTGTACATCGACTCTCCACACTTGCTCGTCCCTCCCACCCGTAGTGATTAAGTCGACCTCGACTGCGTTGACATCACAGTAGCCAACCACCATCACCATCGTGGCATCCCTAGGTAATTTATGAATTAGGGTTTCTGTTTTAGGAATTTAGGGTTTTTACTTAAGCATTTCGATTGATTAGGATTTCTGATTTTGTGGGTTTATGACTTTGTGGTTTTCTGACTTTGTAATGGCGAGGGTGGGATCTGTGGAAGACGATGTCTCTTGTTTGATTTGTGTGTCAGGGTCAACGACTCCAACCGAAGCTGTTGGTGTGGTTGGGCTAAAGCACAAATGCAGACTCAACAAGGTTGTCCTAGGCTTTTACTTCTTTTCTTCTCGGCATCTAATTTCAGTTTATTCTGAATTTGAATTTGGGGATTTAGGAATTAGGGATTCAATTAATTTGATTGAAAAATTCAGAAAAAATGTTAGGGATTTAGCTTAATTAGGGATTCAACTTTATTTTATTTTTTGATGAATTCGAAATTGTATTTGAAGATTTTTATTTATTTATTAATTTGTTCTATTTGGGGATTTAGGTTGGGGTTGGGGCGTGAGAAATGCTTGAAAAATGTTTGATCCATTGCATAACCCGGATTTCAAATTTTTCAGAAGATTAGAAGGGTTGTATTTATAGAGAGAAAAATGTTTAATATGTGGTTTGTTGATTGGTGAGATGTGGCAAGCGAACTTTACGATGGAAAACTGGGGGTCGCGGGTTGGCGGCAGTATGCCCAAAATCGGGAAAAAAAAAACAAGAAAAAAAAATTGGAAAAAAAAAAAGAGTAGTTGGACCCGTGGACCCTTCCTGAATCGGCCCGTTTGAAACGGGCCACGTTAGGTTCGGTTCCCAAATTCAAAATATCGCTACCCGGCCCATTACATTTTAAAACGGGTAGGCCAAGTTCCTTCGAATTTGGGTTCGGCCTGGCCCGTGCCCACCCCTAGGTGCAGCGGCCGTGCCACACTGTTTGCGAGTTGTTTTTTTTTTTTTTTTTTTCTAGACATAACTAGGGTTTAAAAACCCTAAATTGCTTCTAATTTATTTATATGCTTTGACTCACAAATTCCACATAGCAATATCATGGCGTAATGCATGAAACTTATGTTTCATGCATATGTTGACAAATATATTTATATCCCTAATTATGCATGAAACATAACTAGGGATATATTTATATCCCTAAGTATATATATATATATATATATATATATATATATTGACAAATATATGAAACATATACAATACATATATATATATATTTATCGAAAGGAAAATATAAACATAGGGGATTCATGCATCATGTCGAATGGTTTCATGTTTTATGGTCGTTTCAAATATCTTCCATTAGTTTAAGCATACTTGATTGACAGAAAACAAATAAAAGCCTTTGAATTTTGTGGAAGAAAGCCCCCTCCTACGATCTGTCAGTTCCTTAGTTTCTGGCAAGAGCGTACTGATAATGTATTGTAGGCTTATTTAACTGAGCTATTCTAAGGGAATAGAGAGAGGGAGGCGGGCGGTAGTGAGAGAGAGAAAAGAGATTTAATTGTGAGGTGTGTGTTGTATCACCTCATTGTGTCTTTGTTTATAGTGCTATGATAAGTTAAATCCTTACCATTTTAAGATTACAACTCTTAATAGGAATTAAACTACTAAAGAGAATATAAAAGATATCCCTAAATACACTAGAATTTACACAATCATATTCTTATTCTAAATAGGATTGCAAGACTATATACTACCAAAAGCTCCCAACAAACTCTTTATGTGTTGGGCATCCGTCACCGAAACAGATTATATTGAAGATAAGAGAGCAATATACAAACCTGTCGATCACATCCATTTCATACAAGTTCTCTCCTGTCCTCCCGAGTTTCAATTCAATGGCTTTCTCACCAACATCTTCGCCGTGTACATCTCTCTCACACCTCCATTCTTCTTCTTGTTCTTCTTCTTCGCTACTTACCCTCTTCAGATTACAGCACCCTCATCTCCTCTCTCCTTCCTTTTCTTCTTCTCTCAGTGCAAAACGTTACGAGAGCCGTCGCACTCGCATTCGCGTCACCGCTTCTGCGGCGGCTGCCACTATTGAGTCTGGAAACGGCGCCTTACTCACCCCAGAAAAGAGCTTCGACTCCATTTCCTATGGAAGACAGTTTTTTCCTTTAGCTGCGGTTGTTGGCCAGGTACACATAAAATTTAAAATCCCATCTTTCTTTCTCTTCGCAAATGCTGTTTGGAGTTTTTATTCTGCATTTTCTTGTCCAAATTTGAATTGGGTTTTTCTAGCTTTTTGAATTTCTTCAAGGAATTAATTCTGTCTTGGAAGTTTATTTGTGAATGCTGCTCTGGGTTGGTTTTCTTTCATTTGGGTATTATCATGTTGAGATGATTTTTTCATAAGTGAATGTGGTGTTCTGGGGTTCTGGAGTTTTTTTTTCTTTTTTCTTTTATCTGTCAAACGATAGATTTTGTTAGTTTAGATATTAGATTAGCCGTCGAGAGGATTTGAACCCATGCCAAGGTAACATTCCTCTCCACCATTGTGATAGAGGGCCACTTGCCTATGGGGTGCTGGAGTTTACCCACTTCTGTGGATTGGACGCTGTATAATATACTTGGTATACATTTCATCAGGAACAATTTTGTAACTAATTTTTCTGTAAATGGGATATTGTTTAGACCTGATTCTGTACTGTCTGGATTGAAGCCGTTGGATGACTCCAAAGATAAAAATGATTTTATCTTGAAAAATATCGTTTGGGTTTGGGAAGATGGGGAAGGACTAAATGGAATAAGGGATTGAACTCATCACATTTGATTTGAGGAGTATGCAGCACGTAGTGATGATGGTTGGTGGGGTGAAGATAATTACCTTTGTTTTAAATTACTCAAATTAATTATAATTAGAGGTTAGGTGACGAGTACATGGCATTAGGAAAAGATGGGAGGTTAAAAATATGCATACACGTGGAAGATAAGAAAGGCTTTGACTAAAGGTTATGTGTTGGTTAAGAAAGCAAGTGAAAGCCTACGGGATATAGGATACCCTATCTTGGTAAAATTTCAAGAAAGCTTATCTTGGAATTATTTCAGGAGGTTAAAGGATATAGCATACAGAGTCTTCACCTGCAATCGGGATGTACAATGTGAAAAGGACCTTCAACGCAACACTGCAATTGGGGTGTACAATGTGAAAAGGACCTTCAACACAACACATAAATTTGCTCTGTGCAAATTTTCGCTCCAAGCGAAATCTTCTCATCTTTGAGAAAAACACCAACTTCCCTAACTTTGTCACTGTGTTGGCAACTGGCATCTTCACTTTGGATTAACAGCACTGGAGACATACAGTCAAGCGAATGAGGAGCACCTTTAAACTGCTTTGAGTTTGTTGACTATTTATCCATGTCTCTGCCGATAAGGAGTCTTCTGTCTTCTTGAAAGAGGTCATTTCATTAGCTTTTTCGGCGAAGTGAGGTGTTCCCAGTTACTCAGTGTTCGGCACATTGAAAGCCGAATTTTATTTGAACTTCATAGTGACTAGCAGCCTTGTCTTCAGGATCTTTCCTCTGCCGCAATCGCTTGGATAACTGAAGTCAACAACACGTTCAACACCACCACCACATTTCATTCTACTCATCGACCGAGCCCGGTCGTCGAGTTGGCATAACCGCATTCAACCAAAGGACGTAGTTAGCTCATTAGTTATTCGGCCTGCGTGCCACATAGGCTTAGTAGTTTCTAGGGTCAACAGATATTTATGGTTAAACCGTTGCATATGAGGATTCGGCAAGTTGGCAAGGCAATGTGCCTGCCAGTTTGCACCCAAGTTCAACCCATTCCAGTAATTTAGAATACCGTCCTGTCTAAAGAGGCGATAGGCGTGCATTCAGAAATACTGTTCTGATTTTGAATGTTTGTCATTTGCATTATTGATTCTTTTATTCTCTTCTGTTTCAAGTCAGGCTGAATTGAACTTTTTCCAAGTTTTAGTATTATATTAAATCCTTGTATAACAATCAACTTCTGTCATTGGTTAATCAGTGAAATTTCCATCTGTGCACATTTATTGAATACTTTTTATTTATTTATTTGTAGGATGCTATCAAAACTGCTTTGTTGCTTGGGGCTATAGACCGTGAAATTGGAGGAATTGCTATCTCCGGAAGGCGGGGAACAGCGAAGACAGTAATGGCACGCGGGTTGCATGCTATTTTACCACCCATTGAAGTAGTCGTTGGTTCAATGGCAAATGCTGATCCAGCCTGCCCCGAAGAGTAAGCATACTGAATGCTTACGGGTTATTTTGTGATGAACATAGATAGAGGGGATAAATATGGATGTAAACTCCTTGTTATGACATGATTTGCTTGGTTTTCTTGACTATAGCAAAAACGAATTTTGGCTAATGCAGTTTGCAAACTTTTTCACACATGACAAGTTATGGAACTTTTCTTTGGAATGTTTGACACAATTGAGGTGACTTGAGCCAGAAACACATCTATGGAACACATTTACAACTTACATCTCAATTTTTCCCACACCAGATCATTTTTCCTTATGTATTCCTCCGCCCAGCACCCCCCAACCCAAAATGCATTTCATAATGGACTTTCAGCATCATCTGCAGGTTCACTCTATGCTTAGGTACCTCTAACCTTAAATGGCTTTTTTTTGCTCACAAAATCAGACTTAATTGACAAGCAGAAAGTTCATTTTCAGAACCTGCCTTAGGACTTACCGACGATACTAAGATCAGAATCTAAATATATTGGTGTTGTTAAAATATATTTATATACTCTTTAACTTATTACAAGTGTCCCTGAGAACTTAGAAAATTTCTCAATCTTTTCTTAGTCTATCTTCTGAGAAATTTTTTAGGTTAGAACCACAGAGAACAAGACATGTTTTGTTGCTCAAATAGTAAATGATGTTTTCTGCCCAAGAAACTCTTTTTTGAAATTTAAATAGCAATAGAAAATGTTAGTCCACAAGAATTTTTATGTGAATCTTCAAAATTAGAATGGAAATGTTTCAAGTAATTATTTTTAATTCATGATGCTTATATCCCTCGGACCCATTTCTTGTCACAATGTCATTACAATGACCCATATATCGATTAAAAGTTAAAACAAATAAAGAACCCTTCTTTTCTGTAACCATTCTCTTTCAGTCAGTACCATGTGCAGTTTTGATGGGAATAGTGGGTAGTGGCTGTTGATTTGAAGCTTAAATATTTACTTCTCTTTTATGTCCTAGAAAGCCCCATACACGAAGTTTTGATCAGATGTTCTGTTTTCACTTGTCCAGTTGATGTTGTGTAAGTCTCTTTTAATGATAATGGTTTGGTTGTAATTCTTAAAGGTGGGAAAATACTTTAGCTGACTGCATGGAGTTTGATTCTGCGGGTAATATCAAGACTCAGATTGTCCGGTCTCCTTTTGTACAGGTACTTTTTCATGGAAACATCCTTTCATATTCATATGATTTTCATTTATGTAAATACCCTATTTTCACATTGTAGATTCCACTTGGAGTCACGGAGGACAGACTTATTGGATCTGTTGATGTTGAGGAGTCTGTAAAAACAGGAACCACTGTTTTCCAGCCAGGCCTTCTTGCTGAAGCTCATCGAGGTGTATTATACGTTGATGAAATTAATCTTTTGGATGAGGGTATAAGTAATTTGCTTCTTAACGTATTAACTGAAGGAGTTAATATTGTGGAAAGAGAGGGAATCAGCTTTAGACACCCATGCAAGCCTCTCTTGATTGCTACTTATAATCCGGAAGAGGGTGCTGTTCGGGAACACTTACTAGATCGTATTGCAATTAATTTGAGGTACAGATCTTGTATTTACCTAGTGGAACAAAACAATTTATCTATTTTTTTTTTAATAAGCCTTCTCATTTTACTAATGATGCACACTTATTTTGCAGTGCAGATTTTGAAATGGGTTTTGATGATCGTGTTGCAGCCGTGGCGATTGCAACCCAATTCCAGGAACACAGTTCTGAAGTCTTTAAAATGGTTGAAGAAGAAACAGAATATGTGAAAACTCAGGTAGTTAGTGGTTTTTTTGTTCGCTAGATTGTCATTCTCATGAGAGACATTGGGTGTAATGACATGACTATCATAGTATAGAAATCGCCGAGATTTAAAAATTATCCATTTACATTACACCTTACATGATTTGATAAAATTTATTAACTAGAAAAATGAAATGGAAGAAAGAATGGTCCTTAAACTGCGTTGGTTCTTAGATCTTATTGACTTATTGTTTCCATGACTTGGGAGAAAAGGGGATTAATTTGTCTATTGGTCCTTGCATCATTATGAGTCTTATTTATATGTCTGGACTGTAAGAGATATTACTAGTAGTATTTATTATGCAATACTTCAGATGGTAGTTGGTGACAGAAAATATATGCAAGAAACAAAAACAACAACAACAACAACAACAACAAAGCCGTATCCCACTAAGTGGGGTCAGCTATATAAATCCTAGAATGCCACCCTGATGTTCCATATCATCTGCTGCACTAAGTTTGCTTAAAGATAGAGATGTACTTTCTAAAAGGCTTTAGACAAGTCCTGTGTAGCTGTTTATCCCTAAGTATGTAAAAAAGGAGTCAAGAAACCATGCTGATGAAACTGGAATTCTAACTTTAGTCTTTAGATATGTTGAAGGACTATTGATATAGTCACATAGAAGCATGTGTACCCATAACTTGTAGGCAATAGATTTGTATCGTTGAATATCATGATATATTTGCTGGTTTGTTCTCATCGAATTTTGTGATGTTGGAAGATGAAATTTATTTGATTCTTTCCATATTATTTATATGTTTCAGATCATTTTAGCAAGAGAGTATCTAAAGGATGTTACTATCAGCAGAGAACAATTAAAGTACCTGGTTTTGGAAGCTCTTCGAGGTGGTTGCCAGGTTTATTTTGTGAAACTTGTTATTAAGATCCGACATATTTTGCATGAGTTTTTCTCTCCTTTTGGTTAAACAATATTATGTGAAGCCATGATTATGCTTCCATTGCATTGCCACTTAAGCTGCCAACTAGGTTTAAGATTCATAGTGTACCAAGGCTCTCCCTCCCCCTCATTGCTACCCTTGAACCTAAACGACCTGGGGCTAGATTAACAATTAGCATAGGCTATGCGGTAGTGAAGTGTGACTCACAATCATTGGTTTTTATAAGGTAGAGTTTTTATATGAATTATTTTACCTATTGTTGCATAATCTCCCAACTTTTAGTTTGGCATTCATTCTGTAGGAGTTGAATGCAGCCCAAAACTTAAAGAGAACTATAATTTTTTTATGCATAATGCATGCAGGGATGCCATACACATTAAATGGCAGTGTGGAAGGAGTAATGTGGGAAGCTTTATGGTTCATATGCCCTAGTGAAGTTTTTTGGTTCACATGTTCTAAAATTGGGCTCAATTTTGCCAATTTGGATTCCCAAATTTGTTGGAATTTTTGGATCGCCAGGCCCTCCTAACTCTAACGACACTGATACTGTCCCCAACTTTAGCACCTGCCCAATCCGTCAGGTGTGGGGTTTTACCACAAAGGACCTCTCGATAGTACTTAGAGTGGGGTAATTCTATTTAAACCCCTTGGTTTCTTTTCACCCCACCAATGTGGGACTTTAACGAAATTAACGTGCCTTTTTCACTCAAATGCTTTATGGAGTTCGGAATCAATCATCATGTCCTTGTTGATGCCAAATCGGTGCCCAGATTTGGAAATGGCGTTCAAGAAACTTATTAGGCTCAGGATTTGAGGGAGCAAGCTTGAAACTTGGCTGATTGGTTGCAGTGATAGATAATATCGCTGAAAAACATAATGTAATTAAAAACAAAAAAGTGAGATCTGTAACAGTCGAGAGTAAAAATAAAAATAAATGTTGATTCTTACAACTTAGGAAACACAAGGGAAACAGAATTTGGCTCCCATGATATTTATTACCCAAGCCACCATGGGTCATACCAAGTCAGATGAAAGACCTCTTTGAAACCCGGGGTAGGCCTTCATCCGTCTTGCCATAACCAGACCTAGTATTGTCAATAGCCTAGGGGACCAATCCAATTTATTTTACCTGTTTTAATTCATCTCTTCATCTTATTGATGTGGACTTAAGGAGTAAAGAAAATTTCTAATATCTTAACTTGGCCAAACTCTTACTATTTGTTTCTTTTCTTATGCTTCTGATTTTAACATGTTATCTTTTTCCCGTAACTGGGCCAGAAATTAACTTCAAATTTCATTGTGAAATATCAGGGGCATAGAGCTGAGTTATATGCTGCTCGTGTTGCAAAATCATTAGCTGCGCTAGATGGACGAGAAAAAGTTAATGTTGACGACCTCAAAAAAGCTGTTAAGTATATTTCTCTTTTATCAAAACAAGAAAATAAAGTTGTTAATTATACTTCTGAAAGGCGGTGCACATGTTTTCGGCGTATGCCGTATGCACATGCACTCGTGTTTTTGCATGTTGCAAAATATTGTTATTCAAAACAGATGTGCTATATCATATACCAACCAGGGGTAGCAGTAATCTTAAATCATTTTCCTTTGATGGCCATACTTACTGTAATAAAAAGGAGACAATTCTCTTTGAACCATATGATTTTCCCATGAAAATAGCATGAGTCGAAGTTGCTATGATTTTGTGGAGAACAGTAAGAATGGTGAAGAAAAGCAGCAGCTGTTCGTTGTAGCTCAATTTGTTCATCATTTTTCTTGAATTAGCAGCCAACTTGAATAATGAAAGGGCTTTTCCACTTTACATCTTAATAGTTTTATATTCATCAGTACTTGCATCATTATATTTTGCAACTTGCGGGAATATACACTGAATTTTAGCTCTGAGGTATTACCCACTTCAGGTAGAGCTGGTCATTCTTCCTCGTTCAATCATCAGTGAGAACCCACCAGAACAGCAAAATCAACAGCCTCCACCTCCACCACCTCCTCCACAAAATGAACAGTCTGGGGAGGAACAAAATGCAGAGGAAGAAAAAGAGGTTTGTTGACAATAACATTGATTAAAAGTTAAGCTTCACACTGAAATTGGTGCAGACGGATTCCTTTGTTTACAGAGGGAAACACAAGTTTAACTATTCTGCAAACTTCCCAATGTAACCAGGATGAGAATGATGAAGAGAATGATGAAGAGAATGACGAAGAGAATGAACAAGAGCAAGACCAAATACCTGAAGAGTTTATCTTTGATGCAGAAGGGGGTTTGGTGGATGAGAAGCTACTCTTTTTTGCACAGCAAGCGCAGAGACGCAAAGGAAAGGCTGGGAGAGCAAAGAATGTAATATTTTCAGAAGATAGAGGTCGATATATTAAGCCAATGCTTCCAAAGGTTGACCACCCCATCTAGTAGACTTTCAGAAATTTTAGAAAATTTTGTTTGGTTTAAAAAATTTGCTTGACTTTTCTGACAAGCTTTGATTTTACAGGGCCCAATAAAGAGACTAGCTGTTGATGCAACTCTTAGAGCTGCTGCACCATATCAAAAGTTGCGTAGGGAAAGGAACACCCAAAGCAGTAGGAAAGTTTTTGTTGAAAGATCTGATATGAGAGCAAAGAGAATGGCACGAAAAGCCGGAGCACTGGTATTAACTCCCTAGTTTAGTTACATGATTCATTCTCACCGCCGTGGGTAGCTTATGATGCAAAAGTGCTCTCCCTATTTTTTGTATTATTGTTTTTGAACCTCAGTTTTGGCATAGGTTGCCATTCTCATAATCCATAGAATTTGATAATCAGCTTTTCCTAGGATTTGAGAAACTTTGACCAATACAGTGAATCTTTTTTATTGACATCTTAAATTATTCGAGTGTTCCTGCAAATACTTAATATAGATGAGCAGTTTTCAATGTGCTTCATGGCAGGTTATATTTGTTGTTGATGCAAGTGGAAGCATGGCATTGAATAGAATGCAGAATGCAAAAGGTGCAGCACTCAAGTTACTAGCAGAAAGTTATACGAGCAGAGATCAGGTGACATAAACTTTCATATTTGATTTAAAAGATGTCTACCACTAGTTTAGTCTCAAGAAGATTTCCTTTGTCATTTTTTTGGCGAGAAAACGAGAAAAACAAAGTAGAAGAAAAGCAGAGTTTGTACCAAGTAAACAGTGAATTTGATTGTGTTGAATTAGAGCTTTTATTTATTGACTGGAAAAGGAAAAGAAAATTTCAATTAATGACACGTTCATCAAAATAAATAATAGACAATAACAGTAGGATATAGGACCCAACCAAATTCTGGTGATTGCACTTCATAAAGGAAACAATGATTTCCATTTTTTCTTCATACATGTAATGAATCCATCCCCAAATTTCTATAAGAATTTAATTTAGTTATTAATGTGTGCTTCTGATCAGCAAACCATGAAAGCAAATATAATAAGATATTCGTGAGCGTGTGTTGTCCTGGTGACTATCCTTGTAACAGGTTGACTGGTAATGTCATTTAGGTTTCTATCATTCCTTTCCGTGGAGATTCAGCAGAAGTTCTTCTGCCTCCTTCTAGATCAATTTCAATGGCACGAAACCGTCTTGAGAGACTTCCCTGCGGTGGAGGTTCTCCCCTTGCTCATGGTCTGACCACGGTATGTTACTAAACCCTCTTGAGTACTGGCATCTCCACACCCTCGTAACTGACTGTAATCTGAAATTTAAACTGCTTTAGGCTGTTAGGGTTGGAATAAATGCAGAGAAGAGTGGTGATGTTGGACGCATAATGATTGTTGCAATAACGGATGGTAGAGCCAATATATCACTAAAAAGATCCACTGACCCTGAAGCCGCTGCTGCTAGCGATGTTCCAAAACCTTCGTCACAGGAGTTGAAGGTAAATCTTGACTGCTTTCTTTGACATATTAATTGTAGCCTGGACCTCACAGCGCATGACCTTACTGAGATGTGCACATGTTTCCCCTCAGCTTTTCTCTATTGCATTAACTTGTGGTAATTTTTATTGGTGCGTCTTAATGAAGGACGAGATTCTTGAGGTTGCTGGTAAAATCTACAAAGCAGGGATGTCTCTCCTCGTCATTGACACTGAAAATAAGTTTGTTTCAACTGGTTTTGCTAAGGAGATTGCCAGAGTAGCTCAAGGTTCTTTGTCCAACATATATCAAATATCACCTACTCTTCGTCATCTGTGAAGAGTATCATAATCTCATCATAACATTTGTTGTGCAGGAAAATATTACTACTTGCCGAATGCCTCAGATGCTGTGATCTCCGCTGCAACCAAGGACGCGTTATCGGCCCTGAAAAGCACGTGAAGCATTAGAAATTGTTGTTCGTATTGTTCTATTCGGGATAATTTGACTATAAGAGCAACTAATTCTTACCGAAATATGATTCTTAATTGAGGCAGAGCAGCTTAGTTTCCAATCAAAGTATATTTCTCGAGTTTGGTGTCAATTGTTCTTTTGATGTGCAGCAAAGGATAAAAAAAAAACCACTAGGAAAACGAATTGAATTTGTTCTTTGATACAGTATACTGCCACTGTAGCATTCTATGTCAGTTGTTCAATGCCATATATAAAAAAAGTTTATCTATGTCGTTGTATGATTGACACGGAATGTAACGGTAGCACTGTATCAATATAATGAAAATCTTTATCTTGCCATAGACAAAGTATATCACACATTTCCACATCCATCTTTACATAAAAATATATTCAAATCAAAACTCTAAACACGTCATCAACCTTTGCACTTATAGTCTCACATTAGAGATAAAATAAAATACATATAAATTATATTTAAGAGATTCACCACTAAATTACTAATAATTCACGCAATTAATCATTGTAGCGTTAAAGGGTATGAAAATGTAAAATCATAAAAATCTTTTTTGGATCATAATAACCGCCCGCCCAAGAATTTAAAAAGTCAATCGTGGATCGGTTCAGGTAGTCTGGTTCTATTTCCATACTAAATTCAGGGGAGAAAACCGCGCTGAAAGGGTTCCCCGAGTCGGTATGCCGATTTGGTCGCTTTTCGGGCTTGATGGCCACCCAGACCACATCCGGTGCCAAACCTCGTAGACGAACTCAGTTTTCAATCTCTCTAAATCTTTGCTATATTTGTACCGCCGCGATCCTGAGAAGTACTTGAGTTTATAACTTTTTATCACACAGTTCTTAAAATTAACTCATTTCATCAAGATGGTTCTTGAAATAAAAAGTCGATCAATTAAGTTTTAAAAATTGGTTTTGCAAATCAATATGGCAACTCCGTTACAATTCTGTTAAAAATTATGTTATGTAATTGTGTTCATGTAACTGGATCCGTCTAATTAAATATTGCCATGTAAATTAAAAATATTTAAATAATAAAAAATTGATTTTATTTTTTATAATTAAAAACCTAGAGAAGAAAATTATATTAAAAAATTGATTTTATTTTTTATAATTAAACACCTTCAAATCCTTCAAACCCGAAATTCAAAATTTCAAAATCGACACCATGAGCTCCACCACTGCAACCACCACCATAGCCGCCTGGGCTAACCCCCTCATAACCAAGATCGGCTTCCAATTCACAGTCGACCAACTCGCCGGTTCTTCAAGACCATTTAGCTGGCGGTGCAAAACGACGAGGAGTTTACGAAGCTTTTGGGGATTGTGATTATCGGCAACGGCAACGTTGTGCCCAACATTCATCAGTCTTCTTCCAAAGAAGGTGATGGGCCTTACCATAACTCAGTGTCACTAAAGGGTGTAGTCAATTTGGATTTCAGAGGATTTTAATAGATTTTTTTTATATGACATATTTCAAAAGATTTTAATAAACTTCACAATTCTACATGGATTTTGGCAGATTTATATAGATTTCCATATAGATTTCTGTAGATTTGTATGGACTGTCTTCTATGGATTTCTTAAGATTTTCAAAAAGAAAATAATTTTTTATGTCAAAAAAAATTAAATAAAAAAAGAGTGATTCCATCCCTTCAATTAACAAAAATTCAAGAAATTTCTTTCTTCCTCTGCCCATTTTCCTCTCTTGTGTGCCTTTCAATGACTTCCAAAGAGAGTGCCTTCCAATGGTTGAAACACTAAAAGCTGATAGTATCGAAGAAAATTCGATACATAAAGCCCTAGCTTTGGCATGAAAATGTGAACCTATTTTTTAAGTTACTTTCTATGAAATTTTAAGTGAATATTGAATTTTTTAGAAATGTTGGGCAAGTTGGAAAAATGGAGGTTTTGGTTTATGTGAAGTGGGTTTTGGAATTAGAATATGGGTTGTGATATTGGCTTGGTCAATTTTGATGATTTGGTGAATGGATCCAAAGGGTTGCCACGAAATTCTTGCTCTACATCTTCTTCTCTGCAATGACCTTGGCCTACACTATATTGCAATCCATTACCTTGGAATTTGTTTGTTTATAGTTTGAACAGCGAGATTGAAGGCGATCGTATGAAAGGGAGGGTTGGATTCTTGATGCTCTTTGGTATATATACCACCCACCTTCAAATCCATCTAAATCCTTCACTAATTAAAATCCTAACAAATCTTTGACATTTTCACTATACTTGAATTTAGATGTATTATTTAAAATTGTAATTGACTACTCCTGAATTTTGATGTATTCTTCAAAATCATTTTAAATCCTAATTTGACTATACTATGATTTCAAAGTCCTTTAAAATGCTTTTTTAAAATCTAATTAACTACACCCAAATTTTGAATTCTATTAAAATCCTATGAAATATTAATTTGACTACACCCTCCTAAGCTAATTACTTCCCATTGTAATTGCATTAGTTGTAGGTGGTGACTTAGCACCAAGTCTTTTGTCTTGTTGTGGCTGATGGATATACACGTCCCTTTTGTAGTCTGTGAAAGAGTATGAAATAAATTAACCCTTTTAGCTTTCTTTGCATTTCCCTTTACTCTGATCTTTCTTTCCATGTGTGGTTGAAAACCTAACATTTGGTATCCATAGCCTGGCTTCTTCCATGGGCAAAAGCAAGGCATCGATGATGGTGGATGATGTCACAGAGGCGGACGAACTCTAGGAATTTCAGCAACAAGAAGTTTTCAATCAACTCCATGACTTTAATGAAACAGTGACCATGATGAACCTCCGCCAAGATGACCTACAACGCCATATCCCCGTTTTGCAACAAGTTCTCGCGGATCTGTCATTTAGTTGAGTTCGGCAGGAACAATTTCAACAGATAATGATCCAAGAGCTTCGTTCGCTTAAAACCCAGCCCCCAAACCAAACCCTTTCACAGATCCCTATCGGTTCCATACTAGTTTTCCTTGGGTCTACCCCTTTTCCCAACATCCATACCACCCATCCCCAACCCATATGGGGGACTTTCCCTTCCCACCCAATCCCTACCACCCACCCATCCATATCCTATTTGGTGGCTGGACCTTCGTCCCTCTCCTACGCCACACCACCCTTTCACTCATTTTCCCATTCATTAGCCATCCCTCCCACAACCAGATATCTCCCTCATTTTACCGGCGATTCCACTTTACCTCCGCTGGACCACGATCCCTATTCCTCCCACCCTTATCCTCTCCCTTCCCCCTACTTTCAATATGCCTAAGCATTTGAAAATTGAGTTCCCTCGCTTTTTTGGGGACAATCCATATGGTTGGATTGCAATGGTTAATGAATTTCTCGATTATCATGAGATCGAGGATCGCCGCTGTGTCATAGTCGCCGGTCTACATCTTAGCGGGGATGCTACCCATTGGCTTTGGTGGTTTAAAATGCGTTTTCCCCTCTTTTCATGGGCGACCTTCACAACCTAATTGCTGTAACGTTTTAAGCTTGCAGATTCTTTGAACTTTCATATGGCCATTTCTCACATATCCCAAACTGGATCAGTTAAATAGTATGTGGGTCATTTTATTCGGTTTTCGTGTCGAACTCCATATTGGTCAGATGCTTAGCTTTTGGGAGCGTTTTTAGGGGGCCTTAAAGATGAACTGCAAGATGATGTGGTGACACAAAGGTCGACGTCTCTTGCCCATGTGATTGAGCTCACTCGGATTTGAGAGACCAAACAAGGGCATCGTTCCTTTTTTCACCCCGGGTTTTCACGTTCCTCTGCCACCACTTCCAAACCTATTCCGTTACCTCCTTCCATCCACTCAATGCAACTTTCCGTGTCTCACTCCCCTCAACTAGCACCTACCCTACCCCCCATTAAGCATGTGCTCTGCCTTACTCAGACGGAAATGTGAGCACGTCGAGAACATGGCCTTTGCTTTAATTGTGATGATCAATATAAGCCTGGTCACCAATGTCGCCAATCCTATATTCTCCTACTTCTTGTTGAGGATGAAGTTTAGGATCTGTTGCCGGAGCTTGATGACCCTACTTTCCTTTGCTTCAATTTTGGTGGAACAACCTAAGAACCCTATTGCTCTCCATGCTATTTCGGCCTGTAAGCGTTCTCACGGTAGAGCTATGCGGTTGAAGAGGCTTATACTCAATACCCCGTGTCACATTTTTATTGATTCTGAAGCTGACCAAAGTTTCCTCAACCCTCACGTGGCTGCCTGCTTGGGTTTGACCATTGATTCATCGATTAGTGAGGTTGTCATGGTAGCGACAGGTCACTATTTTTGTACAACAGGTTTGGCTCTCGATGTCTTAGTGTGGATACATGGTTATACATTCAGGAGGAATTTTCACCTCTTCGCGGTTGCGAGTTGTGACATGGTACTTGGCGTTGACTAGTTTAGAGACCTTGGGTTTCTTTGGATGGAACTTTCTTCTTAAGATCATGGAATTCTTGATTGACAGGACAAATTATAGGTTGGTGGGAATTTCCATTGCCATTTCAATTTCGTTCGTACCATCAAAGTCTGGGAACTCTTCTCTTAGTGATCCAGTCAGTGTTATTCATCAAATATCTAGTCTCATTACATCACCTTTTAAAGCATCGCCTACGTCGGACATCCTGCAGGTCATGCTTCTCCAATATGAAGACTTTTTTTCCCCACCTACCACATTACCACCCCACCTAGAAATTGATCATCGTATCCTTTTGCTTTTGGGATGGGTCATGTCAATGTGAGGCCTTACCGTTATAGCCATGCTCAGAAATCGAAACTCGAAAGGCAAGTTGCAGAAATGTTATCAGTGGGCATCATCCAACCTAGCTTTAGTCATTTCTCGTTGCCCGCACTGTTGGTTCCAAAAGATGCGGATTCTTGGTGATTATGTGTGGATTATAGGGTCTTGAATTCCGTCACCATTAAATACCGCTTTCCAGTTCCCATTATTGATGAATTACTAGTGGAATTAAAAGGTGCAGTCATATTTTAAAAATTGGACTTGCGTTCAGGATATCATCAGATATGAATGCACGAGGCCAACATTCCCAAAACTACTTTTCGGACATAAGAAGGGCACTACGGTTCACTAT